TGAGAGTAGTTTTGTATGAAAATCACAAAAGTCGTTGAGTTATGGATGACCTTGAAAGAGACGATTTCTTCCTCCTTCTCGTAGGTCTTTTCGTGCAGCTGCGCGAGCGAAGGTCGAGAGGCGATCGCGCCCTCGATCGACATCACGTTGCGGTAATGGTCGATGTTCGGCACGCGCTCCATCGTCTGCACGTTGCGAAAGCTTTTGAGGTTGGTCGTATAGTTGGTTGTAGTGGTATTTTGACTGAATGAGTCACCGCTTTGGAAAGTGTCCCGTCGAGAACTGGCCAATCCCGACGACATGTCATTTCTGTTGTCCTCGTCCTTGTCCACGGTCTCAGCGATCGAGAACTTCACCTGTTTCGCCTCATTGACCGCCACTCGGCCGGCGTCCCCGACTTTGTGATCATTTTCGATCAGGTTCAACGCCTCATTCGAATCGCTGACGGTCGCAACCCGGTTGACTAAGAAACGCGAAGAGTTTCGCGAAATGTTGCCTCCTCCTTGACACGGACCTTCGTCGTCGCTCATACCTTAAATACATTTACGTCTAGTGACTTTAGTGGTGACAGTGAACACAGTGAACATTGGCATATGTATTACTTTACATACTGCTGTTCCAATAGGCATTTTACAGTGATAATTAATCAAAACTCCAGATTATGCAGCCAAAATTCAAATCTGGAAGATATCGCATCTGTTTGCTGTGACAAGAAAACAGCCATTTAAGGGACTACAAAATCGCCGAAAATATTACATTCATGCGTTCATTAGATCAGGATAAAAGGACTGGATAATAGAGACTGTACCTATCTCTAAACAGGAAATTAAATCAGTATTCTTTGGATAAAAGATAACTTATATGGATAGTCTCTTTTTAACTGAAAATTACAAATTTTAATTATAACGTTACGGAAGCGAATAAACACCATGAAGGAAGATATGACATGCATTAGCGGAGCTTATACCGAGCAGAATATTATCCGCTATCAAATCAGCGTGGTCAGAAAAGAATCCAACTGGGCAAAAAGAAAAATACTGGAAGATATCAAAATGGAGCCAGAATATATAATGAGATAAAAGACAAGAAGAAATCTGATTAAAAATACTACATTACTATCAAATTTTTTCTTGAAGCTATTTGGTTAAGTACATCATCAAATTTTTTATTCCAATCGTTTTGTTAACTTTTGTCCTTTAATCGTAATCTTATAACCTTTCAACGGTCTTTACCTGGCACGTTATGAGCTCGAGTTCCAAATGGGGTTTGGTGGGGCTGGAGAGTACGACACAATGACATACAAGGACGATATAGTTACGCAGACAATACCATACGACTTTCACTTCTAAATTCCCCTTAATCATTTAAGCACCTATTTCTTTAGATTGTAAATGAATATTTAACAAAAAGAGAGACCATGATAAATAAATGATCTAGGAGCAAGAAGGACGTTGCAGTACATCGCGAAAACAGGTCTCGGGTGAATCATGTGTCAACGAACGTACTTTAGCTGACGACCTTATAAGGAGCACCGGCACCGAAAATACCATTCGCGACGAGTGCGAGAAGACTCTAGCAAACTTCAAAATGAAGCGAAATGCGTCTAGCTCTAAAGAAGCTCAAATACCATAGAGCCGTGATATATAAATGCGCCCTCCCTGAGGTAGACAGCTAGCAGAAGGGGAGTGGTGCAATACGCGGTGAAATTTAACCTTGCAGGAGCTGTGCAGCATTTTACCGTAACAAGCATGATACCAGTAGTAGTTTTTGTTGTTCGGCTAATTTGCAATTTGATAGTTTCCAGGTCGTAAGTAGAATTATTTAGCCATTAAAATCAACTGCCGAACTAAATACTACATACACATGCAGTTAGGCAGGTTGTTTTCTTTTTATCAGACTGCATCGAAGACGACGCTGGATGTCGTATAAGCATTCCAACTGGATCAAAGAAATCCAAATTCCATGCATATTTTTCAGCCTTTCCGATGCCATTTTACATCGATGGACACCTTACCTCGATAACTAATGTCCTACTAGCCGTTTGGCTCAATATCTGCATTCCACAACAGCTACCACTCATTCTTTGGCAATCGCCTACCATCTTAAATTTCCTTGTTTCAAGCCAATCGGTAATTTAAACTGGGTATTCTAATTTCTTTCATACAACAGTATTTGATCTCAAACCGAATTACTTCACTTATTGATATTGATTGTAAAATCAATAGTTCTGATGTTTCCAGTTATCCGTTCACAATTTAGTTCCAGCGGTACAGCGATTGTAACGTCATCCGTCGTTTGTGCATCACTAGCCAATGCACTGCTAAGATACAGACGTTATGGTAGTCGTTCCAAAACTTTGTTGTCAAGTGTCAGACTGCCTTTGCTCTGGACTCTATCAATTTCTATCCCTTTCGTCTTTAGGTTAATCGAATTAATTAAAGCGAATTTTTTAATGAAAAAAACTTTTCTGTCAATTACAACAAGTGGTGGCTTTCGATGTTCCTGCTGGACAGAAATTCAAAAAAAATAGTGACGCCTCGCATACCACTCAGACATTCGATTCGTTATTCCTCCTTTGACTGTTGTTTACGAGGAATATTATCTGCAAAAAGTTCACTTTCTGAAGACAGGCAGAACAAACATCAAAAGCAACCAAAAGAATCGTAAGCCTGTAAAAATGACTGGAGAGCAAACACTACAAGTGAGAAACTATGAAGTGCATAAACAACATAAAACTTATGACGAGAACTTTACATATAACTTGACATTAAACATTGCATTTTCATTTACTTAAAGATACTTAATATTTGGGAAGTAACCAAAATTTGTCTAACCTGTTTTACGACCTCGGTTACTTCTGCTTCTCGGCTCGGCCGATATAAAAATTTTGGCTGATACATCTGTGCGAGAGCCTTTCCCGTCTTAAGCAATTATATAACTATGAACTGGCAACTGCCGCCTGTTCGAATTTCATCAAACAAATCACGCAATAGATCGATGCCTAGTCGGCAGTTGTTCGACTCATAATCGTCTTATGAATAACATCAATAACGGCACTGAAGGATTAAGTTGCTATGCAGCGAGGCGAAGAAAGCACTTACTAAAGCGAAACCTCATCCCTGGGCAAAGTTCGGAGAAGTGCCAAAGTCGAATTTCCAAACGACAAGCAAGTTATTCGGACAGATCATTTGCCGACTCCGACGTAAAAAGAAGAGTAGTCTAAGAATACTGAAGAACAAGTCAGGAAACGATTAGACTGAAGACGAGGAAATTCTTCTGCGATGGAAAGAGTACTCTGATGAACTACCTAACCCCGAGGCAACCGCAGGAAATCTTGCCTGAACAACAGCATAAAACGGATATTTGTTTTTCAGCAGATGAAGTCACGGATGCTGAAGAACGTTTCGAAAGTCGCAAGACAGATTTTGCTTTGACCAGCAACTTTATAATTAAATGTGCAGACTTGAAAGCCAATGAATGGGCGCCGCTATAGCATTCCAGACATCAGAAATGCTGCGGTCGAACTTCCGCAGCGGTCATTCGGAAATAATGTGCTGCATGGTTTAATCTTCATGGCCGCATTCAAACAACGTGTTGGAATTCATTTCAAACAGTAGAAGAGGTATCCACAGTGCCATTGTTCTTTGTCCGAGTCCGGTTCGACCTCAAGCTTTCTTTGAAAGTAAAGTCCATTACAGGGGCTTGTGTTGTCTGGCTGAAAACTATGCTGGCTGGCAAGGATACAAAGACAGTGAAGTTGTACAACGCCTTCAAAACGCTTTCCTCTTTTTGGGAAGCAAAATCTTCTAGATCAACACTTAATCTCTATCAATGGTCTACTTCTAGACTATGATACAAGGTCGTACCTGAAGCGTAACTCAGTCATTCCTGCCGTTGTTCGCATGATGGCTAGACCAAGAATCGTTTGCTGACCAACGAAGCAAATTGCGTTATTTTCTGTAACCCACTTTTCGGCGCAGATGCAGAGTACTGCCATCTGTCCTCAAATCCTCTCGGCTGAACAGCAACTGACCTTCACCACAAGATTTCTTTTGCAGAATGCCCGTGAGATACCGACAGAAGGGTCGACACTGTTTCATCACCCGATTGAGTTCTTTGCTGTATTGTGCACAACAAAACCGTCTTTGTACCTTTTCATTCGAGCAAATACTGATATGCCACGGAGCCGTGGGCTAAGTGCCCCCCCCCCATCTCCCAGTCAGGCAACTAGGAGTAAACGGGTGGTGCAGTCGCCATGAAATCTGGTCTTGGATGAATTGCGCGTTAACAAATAAAACATTCATTCATTAAACATTCAAAAGAACAACTCCGGCGAGATGGCCATGGCCAAACTGTATCAAGAAACATCTCCTACCGCTTAGGTCTGATTACGATTCGTGCATATGGGGCGAAGCCATGACTCAATATTAGTAATAGTACGAAACCATCAGTCATTTACAAACACTCATTCGTCATTTTAAGCTATAATTGGTTCACGCATCCGCAAGATATCTATCGGCTATGATCGGCATCTCTGCTAAGCAGTCGTCTCATGCAATCACCCCAGATCTCTTAGTCGTGTCAATGAATCGGAAGGAAACTTTTGAAAGACATTTCGGAGATGCGGAGATGCAATCAATGTCGACTTTAGCCACGTTTGTGGGCGTATTGACAGAAGTGTCTGAGGTATGCTTCGAACTTCGTAGGTGCCAGGATCAATTCCTCCTCGAGGAAAATATTTATCTTTTTCATAAATTCCCATGAGTAACTAACTTACCACACACTGCTTCATACCGGGAATGCTCAGCAGGTACAGCCTGGAACTCAGAACTGATATGTTCCAAGTTCAAGCCCCGGTCGGCGTTACTCGCCCTTCTTTCTTCCGAGGTTGATAAACGAGTGCCACTCTGTGGATTGGAAACAGCAGATTACAAGATATGATTACCACATGACTGTAGACTTCTTTAAGCAATAAGACATTCCTGAGGGGTGGCATAGAAACGGAGAACAGCACTGAGCGACCAGGTCATGAAATAAATCGCAAAATGGCCCGATCACGAAAGTAAAGGAATATCAACATTCCAGTGGTGACAAACCTTCAATTTCTTTCGTTCATGAACGATGAGCCAAGCACATATAATTAACTATAGAAACAGGAACTACTAGCTTCAGAATCCCCACCCTCACACAACTGCATCGAAGACACAGCAACCAATAAATATAGTAATAAAAATATCCTCAATATGATTAACACCAGGCGTCAGGCACGCACACCTGCAAGTATCGAATAATTTCCCCATCAACGAGCCGAGCTACAGTTAGATGAGATTATTTGAACCGTAAGAGAAGCACAACAATTCAAACCCCTTTATAACCGTTAAACCAACACGACATACATAGTCTCTAAACCTTTTGCTAAATTCAATTAAAGTGACAAATATAGTCATAACGACTGCCGCACAAAACGCAGTTTTTTCAAACTTCAAAGTTGAAATATACCTCTTGATTACGGTTTTTCGGTGATCTGCAA